TAATTCTAAATTTAATCAGGTTTATCTTAATTTTTTTCTAGCCTTGCCCCAGGATGTTCTGGGGAATTCAGTGAAGGGCCCCACTGGAGCAGTACCCATTACACCACTTGGGTATACCTCGGGGGAGCCTCCCAGGGAGATGGGTCCTGGAGGAGAAGGTGCAAGATGTGGGACCTCAAAGTCCCCTACGTAGGTCAGTTCTGGGGCATCTGGTCCCCTTTGTAATAAGGAACTCAGAGAGGAGCCCTTCAGAAACAATGTTCTCTCCCTTATCGACTTCCAGGGGCACCTAGGAATGGGGGGCTGTAGGAGGAGGGTGGCCTCTGGGGATAAAGCCAAACAGCCTAGGCAAAGACTCACATGTAATAAATTCAGCCTGCATCCAGAAACAATGCAAAAACGATATAAATACTCACTGTGGCCTCTTGAGAAAACACTTAGTGAGGAGTTGCACTCCTAATAGGGCAAAACTTCTTAAAACCCTTTGTTCCCCTACTTTTCTCTCAATCCACCCACCCCCCACCCCCCGCTCAGGCTCTCAATTTCGGCTCCAGGCTCCATACTGTGATGGCTTAGGGGGCTTAAAGAAAACACTGATTCCACGGGCCCTGCACCAAAGATTCCGATTTAATTGGTCTGGGTTGAGGTCCAAGGCATCCAGGGGCATCGGTTATTTTAAAATCTCAAGGGATTCCTATTGCAGCCAGGAATGAGATCCCTTAGGCTAATCAGTTGCCTGGGAGAGTGCCCTAGAGCCTGGGGGATCCAGGCCGCAGCCCCGGGCACAGCAATTCTTTCCCCTCCAACTGCCTTCTTTTTTTTTTTTTTTTTTTGGGTGTTTTTGTTTTTTTTTTTTTTCTTTTAGGTATATTTATTCAGGGCCAACGACATAGCCTTAAATATATTTGCTCTACTGGCATGTAATCAAAGTGCATTTATTTTTATTTATTTATTTTTTTAAATCAAGCACTCAGAATTGGTTTAGGTACCAGGTTTTTTTGTTTTTTTGTTTTTAACATCTTTATTGGAGTATAATTGCTTTACAATGGTGTGTTAGTTTCTGCTTTATAACAAAGTAAATCAGCTATACATATACATATATCCCCATATCTCCTCCCTCTTACGTCTCCCTGCTCCACGGCATGTGGGATCCCTCCCGGACCGGGGCACGAACCCGTCCCCTGCATCGGCAGGCGGACTCTCAACCACTGCGCCACCAGGGAAGCCCCAACTGCCTTCTTGATCCACCCAGAGGAAAAAGGCAGGGGCCAAGACTCCGGCTGTCACAGAATAATGTAAGACAGAAGATGAAGCCTCACTCACTCATCATTCAATCACGTATTCAGTAACCACTTAATATAAGTGTTGTGGGGAAAATGCTAGAAACTGGCTGAGGGATCCAGTTTAGATTGGGTAGTCGGGCCTCTCTAAGGAGGTGACATTTAAATCGAGACCTGAGTGACAAGAAGGAGCCTGTCCTGGGAAGCTGCCATGACAAGCGGAGAAAACAGTAGGTGCAAAGGCCCTGCGGAGGGAGCAAAGGGGCACAGGGCTGGAGCATAATCGTTGGGAGAAGAGACCAATGGGGTGAAGTCTGCCAGGCAGAGGTGCATCGTGGGGGATTTTGGAACTATGGGACGGCATGCCTTTCATGCTCAGTTCCATGGAAGGTTTTCCGGAGGGAATGGAATGACCTGATTTGTGTTTTTAAGAGACATTCTGGCTGTGATGGGGAGGGTGGCTGGTGGGAAGCCGGATGGATGCCCATGATCAGTCCATTCTGGCGGGGGTGGCGGGGGCACCCCTGTTCTCCCCCGGGGAGAGGATGAACACTCAGCTCCTCCGCAGGGGGAATGTAGGTCAGGCAGCCCAGCACCCTCAGCCAAGCCGTCAGTGCAGCCCCCTCGCCTGTCAGAGAGAAAAGCCGACTGAGATGTGTGGGCTCAACTGAGAGATCAGTGCTGGCAGAGGCAGAGATAATAATCGCCAAGGTGCAGGGATCTGCGCCGCTGCCGGGGGCCCCTTTTTCTCCTTCCCCGGGGTGCCTTCCCCCCACCCCCTCCGCCACATCAGGATCTCCCTGGCAGGCCAGCCCAGGGGCAGGCCTTGACTGTGCCTGGAACAGGCAGCTGTATTTTAAGATCAGGGCTCAGGCTTCTAAATAAACCAAAAACACAGCCAGCTTCCCAGGCACAGAAGGAGGGAGACGGCTCCATTTCTCTTCAGCGCAGTGACTGGGAAATAAACCAGTGGCTCTGCCTGTCACATACACTTAACCCTCTGCAAAGGCATCCGTCAGACCCCAGAGCTCCTGCCTCAGCCTTTCTAAGAAATAACTGATGTGCCCCAGACCCAGGCTTCTCCCTGTGGCTCCAAGTGCACATTGTTGTTCAAGGAAAGGTGGGCGTGGGGCCTTGTCCTTGACCCCGGGGGAAAAGCTGATAAAGGGCAGGTACAGACCCTGGGCCCCTGAGTGGCTGGGGCATGTCTCAGTCAGCTGCCAGAGGGGACGAGGGACGGAGGGAGCGAGGGGGAATGGTAAGGAGTGGGGAGAGGGGGGCTGGCCAGAGCGGGGGCAGAGCTGAGAGGCGAATGGAGTGGCGCCTCTAGACAGTGAGTGCTCCAGGGGCCCGGCAGAGCCCTGGTGTCTGCGGGCAGGTGGGTGACCGTGGGTGTGGAAGAAACAAAGAGAAACGGACGGCAGGCGGCGGGGGGAGGGCGGGGGCTCCCTCCAGGGACGAAATCTCCCACAACCACAAAGGAAAAAGGAACGAGCTAGAACAAACCCGACAGGAACAGAAGGAGGCGGGCAGATAGAGCAGGGGAGGGAGGAAAACCTCATAGTTGCCAAACCCAAGTGTTTCTAGGGAAAAGGGACCCTCCACATGTGGCAGGAAAAGGTGATTTATGCATTAAGCTCAACTAGAAGAGTCAGGAGCGAGGTCAAGGCGACGGGAGTGGCTGGGGACGGTGGCCACACAGCAGAAGCCACATAGACATGTGGTGGTGAAGCTGTGGGTCTGTGAGCTTCGGGGTGGCCAGAAGCCAGGCAGAGCACAGTGAGAGGATGGGGGCAAAGGGCAGAGAGGGCCCCAGGGGACTTCAATGATAGATCCAGCGGCCCTAGACAGGGGTGAGGGCCGCGTGCTCCAAACACAGACCTTGAAAGAAACAGAAATGGAGACGAAGACAGCAAATACTAGATTCTCCCTCTTGCTCTGTCTCTGTGTGTGTGTGCCTGTCTCTGTCTGTCTCTGCCTCCTTCTGTCTCTCTCTCTTCCCCTCTCTCTCACACACACACCCCTCCCTCTCTAAAAGCATCAGACAAAAGAGAAAGGAAGCTCATGTGGCCATCTCCACCTTATTCTCCCTCCCACGTGGCCTGCCTCCCTGGACTCCCCGCACTTGCAGGGGGCTGCAGGGACATGGGTGTGGAGCCCCCTCCGCAGGCAGCACGCTGGCACAACGCCCGCGCCCCCCCCCCCCCCCCCCAGCGC